GAATGAATGGAATTCCAAAATCTCTGTAGATGTTCATTGAAATGAAAAATAAACTAAATTATTTTAAAACATTTAAAAAAAAGAAAAGAGAGGGAATACACAGTTACTATACCAAGAATAATTGGCAATGAAAAATTTCAGGAAGTATCATATATTAGCAGGTGCTAATGCGTATGAAGGAGGAAGTTGAAGGTACATTAAAGGCATTGGCAAAAAATAAGGCCCTAGGAATCTATAGGATGGCAGTTGACTTGTTTGATCTAACAGATGCAGCCCAGGACATGCTTACCACTCTATGCCAGGAAATTTGGAGGACAGTGTCTGGTTAACAGATTGGAAGAGGTTCATATTTTTGTTCCCATTCTCAAGAAAGACAGAATGTGGGAACTATTGAACAGTATCATTATCACATGCAAAAATCCAGGGGTATCATTGCTGATGTTAGATGGATCCTAGCTGGAAGTAAAGAATGTCCATTTATGCTTTATTGACTATTCAAAGGTATTTGTGTGGATCATAACAAATAATAGATAACATTGAAAAAAATAGGAATTGCAGAGCACTTAATTGTGTTTGTGTGAAACCTATACTTAGACCAAGAAGCTGTTTTGCGAACAGAGCAACTACATGATTTAAAACACGTTTTAGAACACGACATAATTTAAAGACAGGAGTGTGTCAGGGTTGTATTTTCTCTCCATAACTATTTAGTCTGTATGTTGTTGTTGAGAACCATAGAGTCAGAACAGACCCATAGCTGGCTCTCTGGCGGATTTTCAGAGTCACAAGAGAGGACACTGCCTATCCTTCTTCCACGGAGCAGCTGGTGGCCTTGAACCATGTGCCTTTGGAATTACAACACAGCTTCTTGACACTTGGCCACCAGAGCTCCCTTTTCAATCTGTACACTAAGCAAATTATTTGAGAAGCTGGATTCTATGAAGAAGAATGTGCCAACAAGATCAGAGGGAAACATGGGGAGCTCTGGTGGCCTAGTGGCAAGAAGCTGCACTGCAATCCTAGAGGAACAGTTTAAATCCACCAGATGCTCTGCCGGAGAAGGAGGCGCGATATCCTCCTGTACCAGTCAGATCTGATTTGACGGTACAGGCACACAAAATAATAATAATTAAAAAAAAAGATCAGAGGGAAACTCATGAATAACTTGCGTTATGCAGATGACACAACCTTGCTTAAAGTGAGAAGGACTAGAAGCACTTGTTGCAGATCAATGAATACAGCCTTCAATATAGATTTTTGTCTCAATGTCCAGAAAATAATTCTTACCACTGGACTATCGGCAACATTATGATAGATGGAGAGAAGATTGAAACTGTCAGCAAATTTATCTTACTTGGATCCAAAGTAAACATCTTTGGTAGCAGCAGTCAAGAAATTAGAAGACACTGGAAAAGTCTGCATCCAGGGACCTCTCCAAATTATTGAGGATCAGTAATGTCAGCTTGAGGACTTAGGTGCATCTGATTCAGGCCATGATCTTTTTAGTCACTTGCTATGCATTTGAGAGCTGGACAATAAATAAGAATGATAAAAGAAAAAAATTATGCTTTTGAGCTTTGGTGGTGAAGAAGAGTATTGAACATCCCATGGACTGCCAAAAGAATAAATATATTTTGGAGAAAGTGCAGCCAGAGTTCTCCTTGGAAGCTAAGACGATAAAGCTTTGTCTCACTTGGGAATATTGCTAGAAGAGGCTATTCTTTGGAACAGGACATCATACTTGGAAAAGGAGAGGGTTGGTGAAGGAGAGGAAGACCTCAGCCAGATTGCCACAATGGGCTCCAGTGTGTCGGGCTGTATGAGAATGGCATAGGATAGGACAGGGTTCAGATCTTGGTTTTGTTCGTAGGGTTGCTATGTGTTGTACTTGACTCAGTGCACCTAACACCATCACCATATTGATTTGATGAGAAGACTGTCTTATCTTGCATTTGTGGTTATTTTTTTCTCTTCCAGGAGGTCCTGGAAGGCTTTTTGTATATCCTGTACCCCTGTACCCCAATAACTTTTATCTCATAGGTTTTGCATTTATTTTATTCCCTTCACCTAAATCAGTTTTTAAGTAGAAATTGAAACATGATTTTTAAATTGTGTATTTCATTCTAAAACTTACTAGCTGAGGTTTTGTTTTGTTTAAAAAAAGAAAACCCAAACAAACTTTTGAGTACGGACACAGGGAGCTTAGGTGGCCTAGTAATAAGGAGTTGCATTGCCAACCCTAAAGCAGACGGTTAAAATCCACCAGCTTTTCTGAGGAGAAAAGACGGCTAGTCTTTCCCCATGACATTTACTGCCTTGAAAACCTGCTGGATGGTCAGCTATTAGTTCC